AAAGCCATGGGAATGATTCAGAAGCAAGGAAATTGGGTGCCGTACGAATTGAAGCCGAGAGATGTTGAACGGCGTTTGTTTGCTTGTGAACAGCTGCTTGAAAGGCAAAGACGGAAGGGATTTCTGCATCGCATTGTGACTGGGGACGAAAAATGGGTTCCATTACGATAACCCCAAGCGCAGAAAATCATGGGGAGTTCCTGGCCATGCTTCCACGTCGACGGCTAAACCGAATATTCACGGCTCCAAGGTCATGCTCTGTATTTTGTGGGACCAGCTCGGCGTAGTGTATTATGAGCTGTTAAAACCGATTAAAACAATCACAGGCGATCGGTATCGAACGCAGTTGATGCGTTTGAGCCGACCATTGAAAGACAAACGGCCGCAATACAACGAGAGATACGATGAAGTGATTTTGCAGCATGACAATGCTCGACCTCATGTTGCGAAAGTGGTCAAGACATACTTGGAAACGTTGAAATGGGAAGTCCTACCCCACCCGCCGTATTCTCCAGACGTTGCTCCCTCTGACTATCACTTGTTTCGATCAATGGCAGACGGCCTAGCTGACCTGCATTTCCGGTCTTATGAAAAAGTAAAAAATTGGATCGATTTGTGGATCGCCTCAAAAGATAACCAGTTTTTTCGACGCGGGATTCGTACGCTGCCCGAAAGATGAGAGAAAGTAGTGGCCAGCGATGGACAATACTTTGAATCATAAATGTATAACCAGTTTTTTACAATAAAGTCTCGAATTTCGGAAAAAAAACGGCGGAAGCAAAGTTGTACACCTAATATTTCACATCTTTTTTTACAAAATAATATTAAACACTGAAAACAAGTTTCTTTGTTAATAATTTTATACGGTAAACTTGACATTGTAAATGTTTAGGTGTACATAAAAAGTAGGTTCTTTACATTTTTGTTTCAAAATAAGTTATTTTTATAAAAAATGTGTCTGTCTCTCTCTCTCTCTCTCTCTCTCTCTCTCTTATTATTTATTTATTATTTTATTATTTATATTCCGATATCTATACAGTCTATTTATTTTAATAAATTACGAGTCGGTAAATCACTAATCGTAATATATATCTCCTTTTTTTTCACCTTTTTATTATCATTTATTTTTCTTACTATTTTTCTTCTAATAGTTCAATATTTATTGCATTTAGTTTTCTTTCTCTGTCTCTCTCTCTCTCTCTCTTTCCACCTTCCTCTCCATCATCCTCTCTCTCTCTCTCTCTCCCTCTCTCACACACACCGTCTCTCCTTTTCTCTCTTCACAACACTGTTCCTTTCTGACTAATAATGAAATGTAACGTTAACAACATACTTTTTTATGAATAACGAGTAATAATGATGAATTAAATCGAAATAA